ACAAAGCTTGCTTCCTTAATTTTTTGACAAATGATGTTGTACACAATTCATTTTAATAACTTCTGGAATAAAAGCAATTTTATCATTAGTTTTCTTGTCTGTGTAATTCAATCACAATTTGCTCTTGCCTTAATTAATATTATTGGCATTTTTAATCACTTTTTATGATGTATCAGTATTCCCATATCTACTTTCTTAGTTACTATTCAGAAATTTAAATGTAAATTGTGATTAAGGAATGAGACATGAAAATGTATCACTTTGATAACATAACACGTGTATACTTGTCATGGACTTGAATACATCTTAATATCTTCAAAATCAATTTAGAAGCTTCCTCGTTGAATGAAACAAAATAGTTTTTACCTCACCAACACAAAAGAACTTCATCAGAATACTCGACCTAACAATTCTGAAAAAATGAACCATACATAAACATACTGATACTTTATGTTTGTAATCTAAATATTCGGACAAATGTGCTGAACCACAAACAAATAACGATCAAGATGTAAAAGCCACCTGCGATAATCATGTTAATCATGTTATTTTTCTTACGTATTATTTTTCTTTCTTTTTTTCAAATTAATCGATGCCATTCAAATTTTATGCATGTAAGAAACATCTAGAAATTTTTGGAAATTTCCATAATAGCATTAGCTAACTATTTAAGAACACAGAAAAGTATTGTGAACTAAATTTTGATACCAAGAAAGAAATTTCAGTATTGCATTTTTTTTTTGTTGAGTAATTAAATAAGCAGAAACTTTCTTATATCAATATCAGTAATTATGAAAAGTCATAAAAACTAACAGTTCTAGCAAGGAATTATTTTATTTGAAAGAACTGTTACTATCCAAATAATTCCAAATGGTAACAGAAGGCGAAAAGTAAACGAATATTGTATAAAATTAATTTTTTAGTCACTAATAATTTTTCAACAATTTAATTTTTTTAACAAGAATTAATTTTTAGTGTCTAATCATTTAAATACAGGGAAAAGATGAATAAATCATCCAATTTCATGCAACAAAAAATTCACTCCTTCCATGTCTTTTTTAAATGCTATCGTGATTTTATTTAGCATGGAGTATTTTTTACCGAAACTTCTGATGCGACTGGGAAAAGTTAAGCTGATTTGAGCTATTCTTAAAATAAAAAACATTTTTTTTTGCTATGATTTAAATGCTTGGTAAGAAAGAACTCTTACATAATTTATGTAAATTCTACAAAAATTTTACTTAAACCAACAATTTTTAATTAAACACAATTTTATGCAAGTAAATAAAGTAATAAACAAACAAGTTGTTAAAGAAGCACTCCAAGAAACCTACAAATTTTGTAAATCAAAAGACAAACTTATAAAAAATCTACTATTTATCTAATTTGATTTTTTGCTTTTTTGTCAGTCTTCTAATTTTGAATTCTTGTGATTTTCTACGTTTCAGGCTTAAATTTATCTAGGCTTGAAAAATTGAAACTTGACAAAAAATATTTCAATTAAATTCATTTTATATTCAACTGAACCAGAAATTTAGGTTTGACACATGGTTTTTATTTCAAAAAAATAATTCACGCTCTATACTCACTGGGATATAATTTTCTAAATCTATTTCTGTCATTTGCAGAATGTGAAGAGTGAAAAATATTCATCAAGTGACTTTTGAATATAATCATATTGTTGAAAACAATCTCGATAACACGATTGATTACAAGAAATATTCGCTATCAAAGTTGCAACACTTTGGCGTTATCATTTAAGAAAAATGAATTTTCAATACTTTATTAGTTGTTTCTGTGAGCTTCATTAGCAAATACACAAAAGACACTAAAAAATCGCCAATTTATGAGTGCATTGATCACAAAAGAAATGCATTTTTAATCATGTTCTATGCAAACTTTTGTAACTCTAAAATCTTTAATAATATAGCTATCATATAATTTCTTTAAGTTTTCAAATTTGATTTTTTTTTCCATTACACTATCAGTTTAGAATAACTTATTAAATCCTCTATTTTTTTTTTTGAGTAGTTATGCGATGAAATAAATAAAGTATCGATGCTTCCACTACTTTAATTCTTAGAACGAGAACTTTCATGAGATTTGGTCTTTGGATTAGCTAATGATGCCTCAAATAAACAAAGCAAAGTCTTGTGAGCAACTTTTTAATAAATAAACTTTGCCTGAATCCCTTGAAGAACGTAAATGATTGATAATTTTACTAAAAAAACTGAGTTCAGAGATCCATTGAATTCATGTATTTAAACGATTTCTGTAATCATTTTATTCTGCAAACACTAAAACAATACCGCCCGCTCGATTAATTATTATACCATGCTTAATTCATTCCTTTCAGAATTCATTTTTGTTCATGAATTGACTAACTATTTGTTAGTCATTCCAGGGTTAGTTTTAATGAAATTTCATTAACTTAATTTTAAACTTGAATGTTACTCAATTTTTAGGGAAGGTAAAGTCCTGAATATATGTTCATTATTAATACTATTCAAAATTAAAATGCAAAGTTCTAAAAATTGGCATAAATTGACATGAAGAAAGGTGCTTGAAATAAATGATAGTTTTTGATATCTTTCGTATCTAAAAATTGAAATGTCTTTAAATTTAATTTAAATAACTAATCGTTTTCTTTGCTGATCCATATATATATTTTTTGATTCTTGCATATGAAAGTTGTTCTATCTAATAAAAGTTTGTAACTTAGCACAATACAATTAACAAAAGTTTTGGACAGGTTCAAAAAGATCTACTGCACATGACAGATCAACACTTTTTAACCTTCTCTGTTGCATCTAAAGTAAAAAATTTCTCTGAAAAAGAAACAAATTTTTTCAAATGAAAGTTCTGAGCTTTCAATTTTTAATAATTGATAAAGCTAAAAAGTAAATAAATATTATTTACAAACACGTGAAAATCTTAACTTGATTTCTATGATCGTTGATTATCTGTGATTAATGCTTCCAATACTCAAGTATATTTCTTATCTGAATCACATTTTCCTTACTACATAAATGTAATAGCTCTTGACAAAATGTTTAGTTATATAATGCAGTTATTTTTAGTGACTCAAAAATTGGCTAAGGCTTAGGGTATAAGTTGTCTTTTTAAATTAGTCGTAATTTAAAATATATTTTCATTGGAAAAAATAGATGTTAAAACATCTACAATTATTAAAACTGACCTTTCATTAAAAAAGCTATTACTCATTGTTTCACTAAAGTTATCAAAGTAAAATAAGACGAAATGAATTTTGCAGACTAAAAACGCCATATAATTACTTGGCATAAATTTAAATATGCAATTTAAATTGAGTATATTAGACAAAGATCTTTGTCATCCTCTTAATTTAAGCATCTAGTAATGTTATTTCTTTTACTTCGAAATGTTGCTTATGCTTATTAAATAAGTTATATGTTCCAATTAACTTTCTCAAGCACTTCCAATTCCAAATTGAAACAGAAAATATGGCAATTATTAATAGAGCAATTAATATCTTGTTAATAATCAAGTTTGCAATTTTGAGTTGATTCCAATAGATAGTTTGTAAGGAAATCAATGCATTTGCGAATTAAAGGGATATATTTTTTGTGCATTTTTCTATACTTAAATATAAACTGATAAAATGTGTTAACAAGTAGTTTAAGGGATAAAACTTTTTCCAGAATCATTCGCTTGGCTACGAAATATACTTCGTAAAATACTAGAAGAAAAGTATTAGACTGAACTGACTATAAAAAATAATCATTCGTGCAATCAATAGTTAGTCTACGCATTAAAGTTTAATCAAATGGATCGAAAATGGTAACTAAAAAGCAAAAGGTCATCAATTAGAATGCTATCTGATAACTCCAACTATTTCTGTTGCAAGTAGCGAATATGACTATAATGTTATAAGCAGTATATAAACACTTGAAACGGCATTCGTATGTTTCACTTATGATACTCGAAGCGAACAATTTCATCCCAAAACAGACAGCGTAACACTTTATAGGAAGTTGCATTAATTTGATAAAGGTGTTCAAAGTAATAAGTTTAGATAGGCAAAAATTTTGGTCAATTTTGAAGCACGTAGACAGATTTCTTTGGTGATAAAAATTGCCATGATGGCTTCTTTAATTCTTTCTTCCATACTAAAATACGTAAGTTTGCTTTGAAGTTTCCTTTTCTACTGTCATTTGTGTAATTGCCATCAGTCTAAAAAGCTTTGTGATCATTTGCATTCAAAGACAAATTTTGGATATTCTGTAAAAATTTATAACGAAAATAAATGTTTACGACTTCTAGACTACCACTGGTATTAGTAAATGCTTTGCAAACATGTAAAAGTGTGAATGGAAGCAAATTTCATACAACTTTGATCAATCATTTCCCAACAGTGCGTGATAAATTGCTGACAAAAAACTTTAGCGGTAATGTACTGAACTTCTCAATCAGTCAACCTACTTGAAAGCAGTCACTGATAAATGCAATTGACCTTACTCATTCTCGATCACGAAATTCAAAAGTTTACATAAAAAAAGCGCTGCAATAGTGCAGAAATTTCACGAAACGAGTCAATTGTCCATTCGATGCTATGATTGTCGGCTAATAATTATGTCAAAAAGATAAATATTGATACTTGTCGGTGTTGCTGTTCACTATTGTGGATGGGACAGCATGGCCGATGAGTAAATGTGAATGTTACAGTATTAGAAGGAATAAATCACAGTAGTTAATGTTTCTTTTTTTTTACTTTAAGCTATCAGTATTTAATTACTCAAAAATTTAGTCGGTCTATGCTATATATGAGGGGTACCAATTACGGGTTGACTTAAATACAGTACGCCTATCGGGCAGTCTTCATTTCAGTCTAATCTATTAATACAGTTGGCTCAATTTTGATAAAGTAATCAGCTGGCTACTGACAAATTCTTAACTCTGCATCATATCAGTTGATCTTCTTGAATATTTACTTTGTTAACTTTCAAAACCTTGGAATTTCTATGGCTTGCCAGTCTGGTATCCGAGGTTTTTTTTTCAAGCATTTATTTTATTTTGTTGTTTTAGAACCAAGTATCTGTGAAAAAAATTTTATTGCATATCATCACTGGATCGAAAAAAAGTGAAATTACGCAACTAATGCATCAAATGCTGAGAAATTTTCAGTTTCTACATTAACTTTCCCTCCCTAATTGTGCGTTATTTATACTAACAATTTTTTTTCCAGCAAATGGCAAACTGCTTAGATTTTTCAACGAGTGCAAGGCTGGTAAAGTGAGACTTGCGAAGATCGTTGTTAAGAATGGTAGTATTTGTTTCATTTTTGTTTGTAATTTAGAAATTTTTGTATTGATCGAGCTAACAACTTTGGTTCCAAGACATATCATTCGTACAATTAAATAGTGTAGAAATCAGATATCAGTTACAGTAGCAGCATTGTGGAAGTATGTACATAAAAGTTTGTAGTTATAGTTTTAGAAACTGCAAATTTATGAAAAGTACCACTAGCCCAGTTCACTATGTCATTACGTTTGCTTGACATTAAAAAGAATAGCTAGTTGATTGAATTTCAGAAGAATTGTCGGTCAATTTTCAAGGGAAAGGTACGGCTAATTGGCGTGCTGATTTCAAACACTACTTGCCGGATTGTATTGACGCGTTTGAACCATGCTACATTCTCTTTCGAATCGATGAGCCAAATAGATGGATTTTGATGAGGTTGATCGATACTAATTATACTCATGAAGTAACTGATTACTGTAAATGAAATCTCATTACTTAAATTGCTTTATGCAGATTAATAACAACACATAAAGTGCGAAGATTTTTTGGTTGCTTTGCTTTTTAGAAAATATCTTCGGAATCGCTAGTTGAAGTATGTGGTGAAGAACATTGTATAACAGCACACTACTTGTTTTTGTAAAGTTATCCAACATTTCCAAGAAATAGCCATAAATTTATTCTAGTTTTGCTGATGATCGTGCACCTGTTCGCGAGAAGATGGTTTTTGCTGCTACTTGGGCGACATTCAAATCAGAATTTGGACAATCTAATATCAAGTAATTAATTCACTGCATTCTCCACTCTTTTTAGCAACTAAAAAGTACTCCTTTTTCTAAATCTAATTGATCATACTGATTGCTCGGTTGATTTTTTTTTTAATTTATTACTCAGTTTGACATCAGTTATTCAGGTACGAATACCATGTAACTGATAAGAAGGAAATGACACTAGAAGCATTTGAGAAATGGCTTGCAATCAGAGAAGATCCAGGACCTATGTCTGAACTTGAGAAGGAGTTTTATAATGCTCATATAGAGCAAAAACTTGCTATCCCTCCTTCTGTCATCACTCAAACTGTTAGAGGTAAATTAAAATATTCCATGCTATTTATTTAAGAAGATTCACAAATAGGAAAATACTCTGATTACTTATGGTGTTGACACCAGTATCCTGAATATTTCTAAAATTTTATTGGTCAGTCACTGATACTTTGTAGGTCTTTCCTTCCCAGTAGATCAAGATGCAGAGGAAGAGTTAAGGAAATTAGCTGAACAAAAGGTGAATTATGTTCAGCTTGCTGTTGACACACTGAATGAAGCTATCAAATTAGAGTCTTCAAAGATGCTCACTTCATCGGAGCAGCTGAATGAGGTAGCATATTTGTCTCAGACGCTTTCAAAATTTCTTGACTGACCAGTTTTTTCTCGTTTTTATGTGAATGAGATGTATTTTTGTTTCATACATGCACATCTTTATTTCTAGCTATTGAAAACTGAAAAACATATTATTTTAGTTTGGTACTGATTTGGAATTACAGGCAATCTACCAGTCTAAGGTATTTAAAATGAGATGAGAAATTTAAGTATGCATGAGATTTTTTGGAAGCATTGGATATATGTATCAAGTTAGAAGATCATATTTTTGTTTATCAATTATTTCTTGACATAGTAAATTCTTTTTTATTTGCAGGTAATACCAAAAGAAAAACCACGGTATCATTTCTATTGTTTTGCACATGAACACGAGAATAAAACGCTGAATACTTTATGTTAGTTTTTATTTGCGTTTGTTATTCTCACACAGTTTTTTATTCTTATCATTAAAAAAATTTTTATTTATGTTGTATAGCATTGTTTGTCTTAAAGAAAGTTTTAGATTTACAAGCTTTTTTCTATTTTTGTTGAGAAAAAACAGGTATAGTCCAATCATATTTTATGAAAATTTTTTTTTTTAAATTATATTTTAGTTTTTATCTATTCGATGCCATCTTCGGGTTGCACAATTAAAGAGCGCATGTTGTATTCGAGTTGCAAACAACATTTTTTACAGGCTGCCTTTTTAGCTGCTAATCTTCGTCCAGATAAAAAGGTTTCTTTGAAACTTATTACAATTTTTATTCCAAAAAGTTGGTTTTTTGTCGAAGCACTCAAAATGCATGTGTGTCATTTAAATCTATATAGAAACCTGGACATATAGATAGCATTTGTATTCTGTGGCACAGGCAGTTTGATTGTAGCGAAGATATCTGAATGACAGGTGTGATTTTTTAATTCTCCAGAGCATAAAACCAATAAAATTCTTTTGCAGATAGAAATTGATAGCAAGGAACACTTGTCGTATGATATTCTGATGGATTATTCTCATCCTACCTTCAGTAACAAAGATAAAGGCTTTGCAAAACCACCAGGGCCACCTCAGAGAGGAACTCGACGTGTGACTAAAGCAGTCAGTTAATATATATATTATTAGCTTTGCCATATATTGTTGTCTTTTGATACAAAGTATCTCAGTGTTAGACTTCTACTTTCAGCTTCTATACGCTGGAAAACGTAAATAGACTGTAGAAAAATTGCTTTTGCTCCAAACTTTATTACTTTTGCTTACTTTTGCAAAATTCGCATTTGCTTCGAACTTTATTCGAAATTTATGCAGTCTTCTTATAAATTTTATTAACTCATCTTGATTTCTATATCATTTCTAATGGTGATTTTGATCATATAAAAAGCTAGTGCCTATTATTCAAATATTAGCATTTTGCGTACTTTTTTATTTTTGACAATATGAATAGTAAGAGAGATTTAAGAATATAGGAACGTGGGAAAGAGTGGGTTGCTCATATAATTAATAATCACATTCAGTGATGCTAAATATGATTTGTTCACATTTAAGATGTATCATTTGTGAGTGTGATTTTCTATGTTGTGTTTGATCATGTTTTCAAGTGATGATATCTGCTGTGTTTATAGTTGAGAATGCCACTTTCCATAATCTCTGCAGTAGATCATAGTATCCATATATTTGCGGTGTATCACAATATTTTCTATTTCCAGTTTTACAATGTTATCCGGGGCAAGCTTCATGAAATTGAATGTCCCATTTAGTGAAACAAGGAAATCACTCCTAAACATTTGTTTATATAAGAATCGTAATCTATATAATTTGTCAAACAAATCAGTGCAGTTTTTGTTCATCTTGCTTCATTTTTCTTTGTTGTCTCAGTGATAGCGTCTGATATTTTTAATGAATTCCGCTTACAGTCATATTCTAATTTACAAGTATTTTAGTATATCAACAGCCTATTCAGAGTTCATATATGAAAATCTTTTAATGTTGAGGTGACTCATACTGAAGTATCTTTTGACTATTTTAATATTAGTTTTTTTTTTTT